CACCAGTAGGCGGTAGGTGAAGTGTCTTGCCCACCAGTGACTGAGATTGTCCGAGCCGGGGCTCGAACCGGCAACCTTCCGGTTACAAGACGAACTGCCAACTCTTGAGCCACGATTGCCCCAATGCAAGGATTCTTTATTTGATTGTAATTCACTGCGGTTCATGGCTGAATGTTGTGCTAGAGGATGTCAGCATTTGTGTTTGTGTGACAGAGCAGGTTTTTGTGAATGTGAAAATGAGCTGTTAGAAGAGTGTGAAATTACTTTCCTTTGCCATGCTCTGTCCTGGCCTTTTTCTTCTGTTTGAATCATCTCTTCTTATCTTCTTTCTTCCTGTGCTTTTTCCATACTCCCTACCTACCTTCCTGACACTTTCAAATCCCCTCTTTTACTTTATTTCCAAATCTTTCCCCTTTTTTAACCATTCCCATTAAATCCAATCACTTCCCTCTCTGTGTTCACTTGTCTTTTTCCTTGCTCCTTATTCCTCCCACCTCCTGTTTTGCTGTATCCCATTATTTTGTTCTTGGCTCTTTGTCTGCACCACCATTGGTCTTTGTCTGTTAAAATTTTACAAGTTGTCATTAAATCCTTGGTATTTCCAAGACTGGACATTAAATGAGACACGAAGATGTGATTTTTCTCAGATTTATAAATGTTACCCAACAAGTCGACAAACAATCTAAACGTCCAGTGCAGACAGATTCTATGTAACTCACACAAAGTGTACAAAATCTGTGCAGTGTCTGAATTACGTTGATGTGAGAATAAATAATAATCCACTGAACTGACAGCTAGTGCATTGTCTTCCTGAACACTCTGCTGGGGCAGCAACCTCACCCAAACCGAGCAAGTGTTTCCACTAGTGGAATGATTGCAGTTTGATAAGCACTGCGAGACAGTATTAATATTGATCAGCTGGCTGCACACTGCAGCTCAAGAAGAGCTTTATTAATTATTAAGAGACTGTTTGAGTGTCTACCTTGGCTGTTAGGTGTCTGAAGTGAACTCATGTGATAGAGAAAAATGCATTTCTTCTGGAAGAATCAGACAAGGTGGTTTGCTGTGTTGAGAGGTTTTAGTGAAAGAAAAACATCACTGCTTTTACTCCAGAAGCAGAGACCGAGCACCTGCCTGCAGCTGTATATGTAAGCTGCTCGGGATAAGAGCACCAGCAGTGTCGTTAAGTAATGCTTCGTGGCATTTTGGCTTAGCATCTTTTTTGACTCAGCAGTTTGCATGAAGAATAAGAATATTCAGAATAAGCAACTTTAGAGGATGTTGAAGGCAGCTTTAGTAGGTCAGGCAGCTACAGAATCAGATGCTGCTGACGTGTCGTCTGACACGTGTCAGGACCGAGCACACTGCTGACATTTCGTTAGGTTGCCGACCCGACGTTGCTTTATAGTCATATTTTTCTGTCCGTGTCATTTCTGCCACTATTCTGCCCACTCAGCCTTCTCTCTTCTGCCATGTGACACATTTCTACACGTGAAGATGCAGAATCCAAATCGCAGTTTCCTCCCACTCGGTCGCCTACACACATTCTGTATCGCTGACTCTCCCCACCTCTAGTGCTCTCAAAGAATAAAAAGGGATGTCAAGGTGGGCAATACTGAAATATTGTTAGCGTTAAACATTGTCGCTCCCATGCAGCACTACAGCGAACACAATTACCTGCTGAGAAAAGCTTTAATTGCTAGGCTTGTGCTCATTTGTGGAAGTGCAGTGGCACTTTGAGTGAGTCCTCTGGAATGATGGAGGATTTATTTGAAACACAAAGGTGTGTACTGCAGCAGGAATATCATGTTTGTGTTGTTTCACTGTACATGTGGCATGTGACAAAAAAGGAAGTTTGAGACAATAATCAACAGATAATCCTTATCAAATATCGAGCAGTGTCTTCACTTGAAAAATTAATCCTGGAGAAAGTCACTCTGTTGCCATGGTGAAATTAAATTATATTGGCTGGGGTGAGAATGTAGCCAAATGATAAACTCTGTGTTTGTACCTGTGTGTGTGTGTGT